TAAAATTTACCCTTTTACCTCTCTCAAGAAGATACAGACAAATGCTGTTCATTTATAGGCTTGAGTAACCTCTTTCAAAACACCGTTGGCTTTATGCAGATTGCATGAGCAAGGTTTTGTCAGAAATCTGCTTAGTGTTCATTGCTATGCAGTGGTCTTGGCTAGATTAGCACACATAAAAACTGTGTCTGCAGAAAGCTGCAAAGACAGACAATTCTTAAATGGCTGAACTGCTTTGCAAAACGCTACATTCTTCTTAAATGAATGTGGGAAGATTCTTGTTAATTCAACAATTCTGGAGCCATCATCATGACTCCTTCACACCACCATATCCCTATACCAAAGGCATTCTCAGATAACAACATTCTGTGCCAGCTACTCTGCCGCTTGATTTTTTGAGGACAACTGGGACAGAAAGAAATGAATCCCCTGTACTTTACCTTTATAATCAGGGAATCTTCCAGTTTCCGATGAAGGAATGATTATCAAGAAAAATTAAGAATAAAAGGCCACTTTACATTTTGCCACAAGCAATGTATAGAACATATAGAAAAGGCTTTTGGCTAGTGTTAAGTTTAACATAAATCAAAACAAATCAAGCTAAACTCTCCATTTCTTGCAAGCCTGTTATGAGCTCTTCATATAGTCTGTTTATTTAAAAGGCTACATATTGTATTATATTACACTATATTACATTTTATTCTACTAAGCACATTCTATCGTATATATTTTATTAACTACATTCTAGTCTGTTGCATGGCCAAAACGCAGGTTACGATTTGACCACCAGGTGGCAGTATTGCTCACGGCACATGCCTTCTAGGCACCAGCTCAACCAGCGACAAATATCCTGCCTATTTCTGTGCTAAAAACCTGCAAACCGTACCCATAGCATGACAAGCTCCCAGGACAAACACACATAAGAACGTGTGAATTGACTGTAATTGCTATCTGAAAAAGAATATTTGAATAAACTGTGCTTTGGTCCCTGGAACAAAGAGTTGCGCTGAAAACTTCGTATTAACGCCGCAAAATCTTTTCCCAGTAGGAAAAGAATGAGGAGATGGCAGAGATCATCTGTGAAAGCGGTAATCATAAAATCATAGAATAATTTGTGTTGGAAGGGACCTTGAAAGGCTATCTAGTCCAACCCCCTGCAGTGAGCAGGGATATCTCCAACTAGATCAGGTTGCTCAGAGCCCATCCAACCTGACCTTGAATGTTTCCATGGATGGGGTATGTACAACTTCTCTGGGTAATCTGTTGCAGTGTTTCACTGCCCTCATCATAAAAAATTTCCTTCTCATATCTAATCTGGAATGGCAAAGAATAATTTTCTCATTTGTTGTCGGTTTTGTGAACATAAAATTGCAAAAAAGAACATTTGTGAATGTGGATTAAAATTATTTCCATTATTTACAATTTTCCACTCAAAGTGTTGAAAAGCAACTATTTCACGTGGGAAAATCAGGTTTTCCAAAGTGGCTTGATAATGTTTTATCCCACAGGAAACATTTGATGATGATGTCCCTGATAGGGGCTGTGTCTTTATGTGGGAACCGGCAGCCCGTATCTCTTTCCTTGGATCTGACAAAAGAGCAGTACTGAGTAACAAGTAGCATCTCCCACAGAAAAAGCCAATAATATGAAGTTTAGATGAATATGAGAAGGAGACCAGCCTATGTTCTTACGGCTTGCAGAGGATTTTGAAGAAGTTTAGACAAAAATCTAAGGCATGACTGCAGCTTAAACAGCCATCATCCAGCTAGCTTTAAAGTAGTTGGCTTTAGCACAGACAGCCTCAATCTGTGAAGCTCCCCAGAGATGCAGATGTAGCTCCTTGCCACCTCAGTGAGACTGATTCCTGTTTGTCGAGGCATGCTCACTCTGACACAGGAGCTACATTTCACACCTGTGATTCCAGTGAAGACAGGCAGATTCAGTGTCTTCATGTCCACGTGGGACAGTTACTCTGTGTGTTCCTGGCCAGCTGGTTCCCCATGTAGTAGCAGGACAAATGTATTGGAAATATTTTGGAATTCCTATAGGTACAATAATGTCTTTTGTATATGGTCAAAAAGCAACTTGGACGTAGTTCCTGCAGAGATTCTGCAACATATACTCTGCAGCTTTCTTCTCCAGGTGCAGGACACCTGCACAGTAGGATGGGTGGCAGACTGACCCCACTTGTGTGGCAGGACTCTAGCTGATGCTAATGGGTGGTGGTGAGGAAGCTGAAGCCCTCATGATAAATCTACACAAATGTGCACTTGTTTAATACAAATACACCCCAGCTACATACTGAACAGAGGTGGAAAAACCCAAGTACCCTTGACCCTGGAAACAGTTCAGGCTGAGTTTCACCCACCAGCAAACTACCTGTGGTTGAGTGCACTATAGATGTTACCTCAGTCCTTCTAACTCCCGTGCTTATTCTTTTTTTCCATAATGTGAAAGTCCATGGCAGATAAGAAAGCATATGTTTGGGTGAACATTTCAGTAGTCTGTAAACAGCTACGTATTACCCATGGACAATGTTCCTTTCTCCACATCCCTCACATGGCCGGTAAGGACATTTGCTGTGGAGTGAGTAATGGACAGAAGAGTTTGCACAGTATTTGTCAAAACAGAAGTGCCACCCTAGCACTTCCCTTTCTAGGGCACATCATTCACAATTTTTCTCCTGATTTCTGTCAATGAGATTGCTAGCTATAATCTGTCTTTACAGCATCTGAATGAAAAACATTCAGACAACAAATAGTCCCTGCGTGGTTACAGTTGCTTATTCACTGTGATCAGCTGGTCCCATAGTATTGATCTTTCCTCTAAGGGGATGAGCAGAACATCTTCTCACAGGAGAGCAAACAGACATTAAATGATTACACCACACAAAGAGTAGCGAATTACAAGGAACTAAATTCACACCCTCTCCCTTCAAGTCATCATAAAACATTTGCTTCTTGGTCCTACAGCCCAACAAAATAGGTGCCCCTCATCTTTCTGAGACCTTGAGAGTGCAGGTCTTTAAATGTAACCTGGTCCTCAAAGTCAGGGATTCCTGGGTCTACCCTCTCGGCTGGGCTGATGCTCCTAAGTCCTAAAGAAGCTCCAGTGTTTCTGCATCCCCTGGGTCCTGTCAGGGCTGCATCCTTCCAGCACAGCCACTGGTCAGACACCACCCACCATAGTGGGCAGAGTTGCCATTCTGCCCATTAATTCTTCTGGGGTCTTGATAGCTACATACAACATGGCACGTACTCATGTCCAGAGAAGGGCGACAAAGATGGTGAAGGGTCTGGAGAATAAGTCTTATGAGGAGAGGCTGAGGGAGCTGGGGTTATTCAGCCTGGAGAAGAGGAGGCTGAGGGGAGACCTTATTGCTCTCTACAACTCCCTGAAAGGAGGGTGTAGAGAGGTGGGGGTCGGTCTCTTCTCCCAAGTCACAGGCGACAGGACAAGAGGAAATGGCCTCAAGTTACGCCAGGGGAGGTTCAGGCTGGATATTAGGAAAAATTTTTTCACTGAAAGGGTTATCAGCCCTTGGAATGGGCTGCCCAGGGAGGGGGTTGAGGCACCATCCCTGGAGGTGTTCAAAAGACGGGATGATGTAGTGCTGGGAGGTATGGTTTAGTGATGATGCTCCTTGTTTGTTGTGTGGGTGTCTATTTTTGTCAGTCAGGTTGACGGTTGGACAAGATGATCTTTAAGGTCCCTTCCAACCTAGAAGATTCTGTGATTTTGTGATTCTGTGAAGAGTCACATGTCATTGGAGTATTTGTGCTTAATTTCTGCATGACTGCAGAAAGAGCTGGGTGGTACTTGTTCAAGAGAGATACTTAACACAAGTGTGTAAATTATATGACCTCTTAATAAAATGATCTTCCTAAACAATTGTTGCTAAGGGGCCTCTTTAAAAACATACATACTACAGGCTTCTAGAAGAATTTTTCTACATTTTTACTCGTGGTATCACATTTTCTTCTTATTTATCAGTTTGCTAGAAAAATGGGAATTTTAAGTGATTTTGCAAAAGCAAGCAATAAAAGAAAACATAGTATCATTCTAAGCTGCCAAACTTGCTCTGAGGTTGTTTTTCTTGACCATCAAACCAAAGTCCCGTATTATTTACATTTAGGATTAGTTGTGTTTCAGTGAATTTCACTGACACATACACAAAGATAACGTTAGCTCTAACACTTGTTTCTGTTTATTTTGCTATCTATCTAATAGTTTAGCAATTGCTTTTGGAGCAACACAGGTTCAGGTACCCGTGTGTGCCTCAGAGCCCTGTGGCACACAGCTGAGGAGGTGCAAAAGAGTAAACATGCTGTTTACTTACAGACATTACAGCTGTTCTTCCACTTTGCTGGGGCTGCTAAAATGCCTGTGGACTTCTACACTAGGCTCAGACCCGTTTGAAATTATTCCCAGATGTCCAAGGAACCATTCTATAGCTTGGGATTGCTTCCGTTTCAGCAACATCCCTTTTATGGGGGTCAAAAGCACTTGGCAAATTCCCCCTCAGACAAATAAGTCAATAGAGCTTTGTGTTTTTATTGGCATAATAAAACATGCGATCATCAAAAATAGGGACACTTCATGAACATTTTTCCTTAACTCTGTTTTTTGCATCTCCCATGCATCCTGTCCTAACAGAGAGAACAGAATATGGCCCAAAGAAAGTCACAGAAGGGCAGAACCTCACAAATCCGCATTTCCTATTAAGCAACTCTAATAATCCAGGATTTTTCTTCCACACACTGCACAAAATCGATGGATAAGGCTTAACAACAGAACAATTAGGTAGTGGTAGGCATTATGTGAAAAGGATGATTTTCCCCCAGAATGCCCCAGTGACTATTGTCAAGTGTAAAGACACTGTTAAGTCTGTTTCTGGTTACCACACAATTTTTTGTTTTTAGAATAAACTGTGAATGTTTAGGAAACAATAGATTGCATACAAAAATGGTTGACAAAATGTAATAAAATGTTGCCCTTACCATTTGGTTTCTTTGATTCTTCCCCCACACTAGATTGATCTTTTTTGTCCAACTTACTGTCTTCTTTCAATTCACCTAGAATGAAGCAAAAAGAAACATTATAAACATTTTTATGCAGACTGCAGTTTGTTAATGCCTGTAACTCAATGGAATTGCAACATCCAAAGGAGATGTTCCTTAGGAGAAAAGGTCAGAATCCGTAAGTAACTGGATGAACACATTCTTATAGAACAAAGCACCAGACAAAATTTATCCAGTCCCACAGAAAATCAAGTTTTTCAATCTACTTTTAAATTTATTCTAATTGTTAACACCTTTTTAAGTGCACATGCAAACCCATAGTCCCTCTTGTTGCATATAGGCCATTAAAAACCTTAGCACAACTTTCACTTCAAAATCAGGACTCTGAAACAGTTACGCTTCTAAAGGACTAGGACCCCACAAGACTTCATCATAGGTCTCTGCATTAAAGAACCACCTTAGACATCCCAAACAGTCCTATATATTTTTGTCTGACTTTCTCTTACCAGTTTCCTTTATCCACAGATTCATTTGGCTTGGTCCTTTGATGATGACACCAGGAAGCAAGCAATTATCCTAGCACTGATCACTGGCCCGAGAGACTCTATAGCAAAGCAGGGAAGCAAGGCCTTTGGCAGAGCAATGGCTGATGCAGAATGAAAATGGCAACTTAAGCTGGAGCCAGGGAGGCTAACCAGAGTCATTCTCATTTTCTGTCCTCTCTCAGTCATACAGGAGAGCACACCAGACCTTGCCACACCATCCCTTCATTGAAAGAGAATGCCAAGTGAAAGATCAAATGAAAAATAACTTATTGGGAGAGCTCTAGCAGAACAGGGCTCTTGCAGCTGCAGTGTCCAAACAGCAGCAAAGCAGATGTCCTTCTTTCGTATGTCCAGAGTTGCACCACCACCCTGCCCAAATAGGAGCAGGCAGCTTGTCCTTTTCCCCTGGAGGAGTGATGAATTTGTGACCCACGCCTCAACACAAAAAGCTGTAGAAGTCTCACTTCAGAATTTTGTAAATGTGAGGTATGTTAAAGTAATGCTTATTCCATTTGTATTGCTATTTTTGTTACTGTAACAACTTCAGAGCTGCTGGATCAAGATTATAGATATTATGGATTAAAAAGGATCTGATCTGCCTTCAACATAGTCATTACCAGTGGATAATTATTTTTGGAACAGCTCAAAATATGAGAGATTGTAGAGAAGCAAGAGCTCCCTCTTCCATATTGTGCCCTAAACACTAGAATATTTGTTATTCTTGGATGACAGAGGATTGATCTCTCTCTTCAAGTTTCATCACAGTATAAACAAGGAATGGTTTTCAAATCTTAAAATATTAAACAAGATGGAAAAAACATGTCCTTGTCAGTTACCATTCGGGGCCAAAGCTTTTCCTATTTTTGTTCCTGAACTTATAAAAAATAAGTTTAAAAAAAAATAAAAGCAAGATGGTACAGGGCAATTAGCAACCTCCTCAGCTGATCATACTACCACTGGCTCGGACTCCTTGAACAGGAGCAGTATAAGCAGCTCCAAGCAGGGTTGAGGTGTCTGCTTGACAAAGGTGGCCTCTAAAAGAAGGACACTGTCTTCAGGAAATTAAATGAAAGTGTTTCTAGAAAAGCAAAAAGTCTTCTGGCATTTCCTCCACCATCATGGCTGATGGTAATGATAAGCTGATAATGCTTTATTTGAACATTGCATAAAGAAGTTGCTTGACACTTAAGTGTGTGCAGGAAAAGATGATGAAGATCCACACATACATTATTGCACAGTTTGATCTCTCTGAGAAAGCACAGGGGCAGCAAGTGACTGAGAGAGACTTTAAGCTCATCCGACAACACAATTTCCGAACTTTCATTGAATAGAACTTATTATGAATAGGGGACTTTTGTGTATTGTAATATCTACTCTGCCATACTGCCGGCAGCAGAGTAGAATGATGGTCATAATGATCTTTTTGAAAGGGATTACAAAGGCAGAGAAATAATTAGGCAAATTCTTTACGATGAGATATTAACATATAGGCGTAAAGGAAGCTATGGTGAACTCAGAGATATGAATGTTAAGATTTCATCAGTCTCCAACGACTCTGCCGTGATTGTACCACATAAAGGCCCTTTCCCATAAATTAAGGAGCAGAATTTCTTTTCCTGAGGAACAAACTAATTTTCAGAAGTCATTACAATTCTTTCAAAGCATTTTTGACGCTTGCAGCAGAGAGATATTACAGAAAAAGGCACTGTTAAAATCACTAGAGCAGATTTAGCCCCTGTACTGTTAGCCGCTTATAAAACAAAGGATTTCAGAAGAAAAGTCTGATGCATTTTAGCTGGGATTTCATATGTCCCCAGCCTTTTTGTCTTCCTGGGGGGCCCATTCCTATGCACCTGTGCAACACTATCCGAGAGCATGACAGTTCAGATCCCCAAAGTCCTTCCAATCTAAAAAAAAAATCTAATGATGAAGGGATCACTGGGAAAGGCCAGCAGCCAAGTGAAATACATGAGAATCATATAAAGGATCCTTTAAACAGGGTTTCTGCCTCTGCTGCAAACTAAGCTCAGCCTGAGCCCAGGACTTTCAAGGCCTGTATGCTCACTCAGACTTTTTCTAAGAGGATGCTTCAGAGTCTTTTGCTGATTTTGGACTAGCTGATACTAGCCAAGTTTGTGGCAAGTCATATGGGGGTGTACTACCATTTTTTTGGTGTACTACATAACTACTACATAACACCTTCGGGGAGCAGGAGTTGGGGAGGGAAGGACAGTGAAATGGCCAAGAGAAAACATATCAGTTCTCATGGGTCTGATTTTTTTTTTTTTTAAATTTAATACAATTTTCAAACATTGCTTCCACTTTTTTTAGGTGAAAAATGGGATTCTTATTTTAACATAGTTCTATAGCAAGTTAAAACACTGGAATGAAATTTTCTGAAAAAAAAATTATCTCCAAAAAAAGGCTAGAGACTCCCCTAATAATAAAAATGAGCAAAGGAAGCATAAATAAAATAACTCTTAAAAACAGACAGGGGGAAAAGTCCTCTGTCCTAAAACATATTAATATCTGAGACTCAGTCAAAAGGCACCTTTAATTGGTGTGCATCTTAAAAAGAGTTTATAAGAAAACTTTGGCTTCTCCTCTTTCAGTTACCCAAGCAATGAAGCTGTTCATTGAACCAAGAATATTTGTTTCAGCTTTTCAGTCTGTGTATCTTAACAGGCTGCTTCATTTACATGAAAAAATTCATTTTTTCCTTTCCTCCAAAAGTGCCCAAACAAGTATTATGAACCCCATCTTCTATGGAAGAACACTACTTGGGAGTTAATTTACAGTCTGCAGTTCCCATATGCAGGTGACTATGCCGATGGCGAGGAAGAGGCTGGGCCCAGGGCATCAGGTTCCTCGATCACTGAGGTGAGAAGCTTGTTTTAGGGCTGGATCTATGTTTCAGTGGAAGGAGAGAACTCACCATTCTGGACATTCTGTTTCTCTTCTCCCACTGCATAATGAGAGTCCATTGCCTTATCTGTCTTAGGTACATTTTTCCCTTGAGAGGCTTCATGTTTGTTCACCCCAGTTTGCCGAGTCCCATTTACATGATTCTTACTGGAATCTGTGCTTTTGTTTTCCCCAGGATTTGCTTCTTTGCTGTTCTCTGTCTTTGCTGCTGTGGCATCTTCAACTGGCTTCTTCTCATCCTTTTCATCTGCTTTCTTTTCGTCTGTTCCCTGATGAACATTTTCTTCTGCTTCTTTCTTAGCTTTTTCTTCTGCATCCTCAGCAAAGAGAGAAGCAAAACGAGGAAAAAAATTATCAGTCAATTTGACAAGAATGATACAACTCATACATTTAAATCTACTTCAACTTTTTACATGCTAACAGCTTTTACTTAGATAAATGTAAGAATTGACTTGACAAGGAAAGAAGAGCACAGGAGGACATTCAAGAAAGTATTCTGGAAAAAGCACTCCATGCTGGCCTAAATGTATATTATGTGCATGTCCTTTTTTACTACATAAGGATCAACTCTGAAAATGCAGTTCCTCAAAATTCTTAAAAGGCAAATAAATAGGAGATATTAGCTATTAAAGGCTTTAGGTGTGCCAAGGTTAGTTTCATTTTTGACCCACAACAATCAAACACCATTTGGTTTATCTCATACCGTACCATATAACTAAGCATATTAAAGGTCTTGGTTATTTGATATCTGCTTTTGCCCCTTCTTGTTCCAGGCTGCTTCCAATGCCAGCTTCCCAATCTCTTCCCTTCCACTTACTATTATGCTTATGGCTCTGTCCTCTCTCAGCAGCCTAATGTATTGCCAATAGTACTTGCCCTTCCATCCAGGAAAGTCTTACAGTCAATCATAAATACGGAAAGATCTAAATTCAAACATCAGTGTTGAACAACAGCACCATTTCAAAATACTGTCATTCAGAAAAAAAAATAAAAATCATTTAGAAGCCGATTTCCCCCATTCAAGATCCTGCTCTTGCTCTTACCCAAACCCTAGGTCCTGGTGCAACGCTTACTTATAACATGGGCTGAAAATCACTTTGGGTCCAGAGATTGTGAGCACTACATTTCTAACCCAGGTCTGGTACAGCACACACCCACAGACTTGGCTGCAAAGGCTGTGTAGGGCTTCCTGCGTCAGACTGGAAAGCAGGACAAAACCACAGTCCCTTGCTGCAAGCCTTGAGCTAATAAAAACATCTGGGTGTGCACAGGCTTTGGGCAGAGAATCCATAATTTTCTCCCCTTTTTCCATGATCAGTAGAGACTAAATCTGCAAAAGCATCTGAGAATTTCAGAACACACTCAATTTGGGACCTGTGAACTTATGCAGCTTCAGAGCATATATATCCATGCTGAGTCTAAACATTCGGAGTGACCGCCCTATGCCTGTATTCAAGATTTCTGGACTAGTAATATCCCAGCCCGCTCATTAACCCCATCATGGGTGACCAACTGCACTTTAATTGTGACAGGAATCACAGATCCTGTTTTCTGAGAGACTGTGTAAGTTGATGAGCAGAGGAGCAGATTCTATAAAACCCTACAAAACACTGAATAAAGTGTTCCTTGGTTCTATGGAACTATTCTTGACATCTATAAGGAAGATGTTCTGTTCCTTACAGGAGCAGAGCTCTGGCCAGTGAGTAGAAATTACAGAAGAATGAATGTTAAATACTTCTTATGAATGAATCGGAACCAGTTTGGAGAAAAATATAACAATGGGATACAAGAGAGAAAGGGCAAAAGCCATCCTTATAAGAACTGTCAATCTGTATTTCCTTGTCACCAGCTAACTAAAGTATTTTTTAAATTAATAAATTATGACTTACATGAACTATAATTAAATTAGATATGAGCCCCCCTCATTTTATAATTCATTCCTGAAATCTATGGTAGCTTCCATAGATAGCTCAGCTAAGCATGTTGGTATTTTCCCTGGAGTCTCATGGTATACGGGATGTTTCCTCTCATTTGGGGATCTGAAAAAGAAATGCTGCATTTTGCACCTGAACCACAGGAGAGAAAGTCAGCCCAGGAGACAGGGGCTCACTACAGCACCATTGGATGAGTGCCTCTTGTCAAAATGTTGGAAAATACTATATGTAAATGGTGCTTTGCACATCAGGGCACTTGTTTATTCAGTTTTTTAATTTGTAGATATTTAATTATGATCCTTTAAGCAAAAAGCCATCAGTAATAAACCCACTTACTTTGCTCACGCAGTCCAAGAAATTTTCTATAAATATCACAGGATAAAAAAAGCTCACTCAGGCTTCTGGGGACAATTCCATTACCAAAGGGAATACAGTATTCTACAAACAATTTAATAATAATAATGGTAATCATGATGTAATAGATGGGTTTCCTTCCCTTGTGGTCCCCGGTTGCTATTTGTTGTCAATCAAGAGTGAAATGCTTTCTCTTAAGCTTTATCTTAATAATTCTTATTTTTATGGGCAGGGCATCTTGAGGCAGATGGGGGGAGGCACAGAGACCCATGGCGAGGCAGCAGCCGGGCAAAGGCTTTGATGTGAGGGCTCTGGCATCCCAGAACTGCTCCTCAGTGCCCAGGCCATACAAAGCTACGCTGAATCTTTCAGGACAAAAAAAAAAATTATGCACGCTTGGGCTGCTAAATGCACCCAGAAACACAGAAATTGTGTGTAACTCAATGAATTCAGATGAACAGAAGCTGAGACTGCTTTCTGGATCTTTAACCCATAAGCCGGCGCCCTGGTTCGAGTTATCAGTGATGAAGCTTGGCAAAAACATAAAGTAAATCAAGGGCTATCAAATTCAGGGCCAAAGGTTGTCAGAAAGATAAAATGACCTACTCAAGGCCTCCCATGTCTAATAATGCAGAGTGGTGAGCTCTCTGCTTTCAAATGATCAACTAATTGTTCCATAGGCAACCCTCAGGATCTGCTGGAAGGATTTTTTTATGAGAGAATTAAAAAGAAAACATTTTCCTCTCCAGCTAAAGTGAAATAAAGCTAAATAACCCAACACTTATCATCAGGATACTCTGTATAGAATGGGTATGAAATACTGCATCAATACATACTAGCAGTAGCAGCATTAGTTAAGCAATGTGTGCACATCCCCTTGAATCATAACTTGACATTTAGACGTGGCACATTTAGAAAAAAGTCTTTATGCAAAGCAGTCACTGCAAGCGGGCATAAAGCACATTTAAAAGTTAAATATCCAGAATCTATTACAATCTACTCTACATGTTTGCTCTAGGTGAAACGTAAGATATGTTTTATTTATTTCCCCACAGATCTTTCTTTCTTGAATATTAAGATTTTTATCTAGTAGATCCTCATTAGACAAGTAAATATGTATGGTACATGTTGAAGTTAAATTCTTACAAGTAGTTAATTGTATTGGCTTCATTCATTCAACACTCCTGTACCATGAGACAATGGCCATGTTAAATGTTTTGCTTGTTTAGTTAGCTTTAGTTTGTTTAGTCCACAAAGAACTGTGAAATAGTAAATACCAATTAAAAAAAAAAAAAAGCTAAAAAAGCCCCTGGCAAATAAGCAGATTTTTAATTACGTTTTTGTTTTCATTTTCATGGAATACCTAGAAAGGCTTTTCCTGAATAGCAAGTTTTAATCACAAAGGAAAATTTAATTTGAGTCATAATGTGCTCTTTCTTGGACCTTTAGACAGGCTTTTCACTTGGAGAGGAACAATCTGCTCAGGCAAACTACCCCAAATATTCCATCAGCCCTGAAGCCAAGGCCATGTAATACATTAAAATCAAACTCCTTCCATCTACATGAAATGCAACAACCCCATTAAAAAAGGGTTTGAGTAACAAACATTCAGCTCAGAGAAGAAATTGTACCACAAACAGTTTAAGGAAGGAAAAAAAATTAATCAGTGATACATTCTTCCTTTCTAGGTTCCAATACTGTTCTAAATCACCTCAGGGCTCAAGGAGACCTTGGGCCCATGGAGCAGTTACACCTAAGTCCTTCTCAGTAGACGGCTCTCATTAGCTCTGAAAAATCTCCAACAGCAGAGATTTGCCAATGTCTAACCTCTTATCAGGTTATAACCACCTGCCAATTTTTTCTCCTCTTAACAGCCCTGGGTATTCGAATAAAAAGCTAGTTCCCTTATTTTGCAGCTGCAGTAGTCTTCAGACCAATGCTTTCAGCTGTAAACCCCTGTCAGTTATGCACTACAGTTACCATCATCTGCACTGTTGTACGGCGTATTGTCTGCAACTGGGACATCTGCTGCCTGAACTGCAGTGCCCAAACCTGGACACGGCACTGCTGAGAGGCTGGAGAGACAGGAAGGATGCCAGAGGGGTCTTAGAAGGTCTGGGGTCTTCTTGTTTTGGTCTGGGTTTTGGTTTTGTTGTTGGTTCGTTTGTTTGTTTTTTCACAATAGCATGACAATATTGAACCCTGGTCAACTTGCAACCAAACCAGCCCTCGTATTCTTCTGAAATATTCGCAGTGCCTCCCAGATTCACAACATCACGAGCATTTGCAGCATAGTTTCCAATTCATTATCCAAGTTAACACTAGAAATATGGACCAGTTTGTGAATCCAGAATATCCTGTCCTTCTCCCCTGAACTATCATCCAAACCTCTTTCAATCTTAATATTGCACAATTGATAACTTATCTCTACAAATGCTGTCCCAGTTATTTTTGCACCCATCCTGAGTCTGACTCATGATTTTAGGGGACCTCCCTTACAATTAGGTTTTTTACTCCCACTCTCTTCACTACGTGCACTCACACCACGTGTAAGGCACAGACGAGTAACAATATTCCTATCTTTCTGAACTCAGGGTGGGTTGTTGACCTTGAAAAGCAGATTCTTTCAAACTAACAGTGCTTACTTGGAGAATTATTTGATTGAAGAAGAGCTTGAAGTAGAGGTCAAAGAATTTTTATTCTTTCACTAAGAAGCCTGGCTGTTACCTTTGGTGGCTTGTGCTTTCCATTTCTCCCGGTTCTGCTGCACCACCTCAGTCCAGGTGGCTTTAAAACATTTGAAGTCCACAGTGAGTATGGAGCAGTTGAGTGAGGCACTTCCTTCGGACCCAGTGCTCTTGACACTTGATCTTTTAACTTCAGAGGGACTAATGCTATTCAGACTGCGACACAAGATCACAAAACACAGCAGCAATCAGTACCACCTATACCCAAATACAGCTAAATGAAAAAATGACTCTAAGTCTAGATATCTTAACGGAGTCAACTGGGATAACCAAAACTAAGCTTGAATCCCTCTTCCTCCTCTCCCTCCCCCCTACCCCAGGGCAACCAATGTTAAAGCAAACAGCACAACCTGAGACAGTATTAGAAATAAAGGGCAGCTTTTCCCTGCTTATTTTTTGGTATCTGTACTCCCTAAGAAACAGAATCACTCAAAGTGTTGCCATTACCTTTGTTTTGCAGCTCCACTCCCTAAATATTCATTGGAGAGTCAGATAATTCTACAAATCAAATATATTAAAGGAGGAACCTCCTAAAATCCATCAGTGAGAGCCACTGGGCATAGGACAGGAGGCCAGCCTCTGTCCAAGGCTTGGTGACCTCAGCTGAGGCTGAAATCAGGCACTCATTTCAATTACAGACCCTACCGTTGTCTTTCAAGGATGGGCACTTCATCGTGCACGTTTTACTGAAGTCAGCAAGATAACTGACAAAGATATCAGTGCTTGCTCTTTGTGTAACAGACCAAGAGTAAAAAAGTCACCTGGGAGAGGGAATACTGACTTGGTAGCCCTATTCTAGGGAGCGTTAGCCACTGGACTTTGAATCCCAAGTCATGTCCTTTCCCTTAAACTACTAGAAGAGTAATTTCTCTACAACAGCCGAGCAGGTTGAATGGACCAAGAGTCCTTACACTCCAGGTGAATTCTGGTGGTGCTTCAAACATTGCATAACCCTTAATACTGTCACTAAAGTGTGCTTATACTGCCCAGTCCTCTTTTCAGTCTCCCGTTTATACTTCTAGACCTGTAGGAAATAGTGCCTCTCAGTGACTGCCTCTACCTTCTCTTTGACATCAGCGACTGAGAGAGCACTCGTGTTCACCTGGTTGCATGGCTACAACCATTTGTGCTCACTGCCTTTGGAGGCACGGCTCAGGTTCATGCCAACCTCCCTCTTTGCTCTCCCTTGGGCTGGAGTTTCTGCAACGAAGCCACATCACAAGGTGAGCTGCAGTGTTGGCAATGTGGACATGGTGCTTCAAGCCCCATGGAAGATACTGTGGAGGGGAGATGGGGGCAGTCGGGCAAAATGGCAGCACGCGTGGAGTGAAGACAGAGAGCATGTGGTTTATTCACCTGGAACGCCTGAACCCAGACATGCCAGAGCGGGACGCTTCATCGATGAGCGGAGTCACAATCTTCTCCGTCATGTCAGTCAGCACAGTAAAAGTGGGTTCCACGATGAAATCGATGAAACCTGAGCAGAAACACAAGCAGAGTCAAGCAGGCAAGAGGAGGATTTACATGGAGTCACTGTTTCGGTGATTGCAGCAACAGCGCTGCAAAAGAGAGAGTAAAAAATTCACACCTTCAAAGAGGGGTAGGCAAATACTAGAAAAGGAAGACGGAGTTATACATTAATCCCTGACCCAAGAGCCTGGATATAGCATGCAACAAAAGATACCGACTTGAACACTGGAGAGAAACTGTGGCAAATCAGAACATAAATAGATGCATCAGAACTTGTTTTATACCAGAGCGTTAATATTTAAGCCAAATTCTGAGCGGATTGGGATAAAACCCAGTTTCAAAGACGAACTCTCTAAAAGCAGAAAATTAGTGTAACAGTAATAATACTGGTAAGCTTTGCTGGTGTGGAGTCACATGCAAACATCCCTTACTGCATATCAGTGGGTTGCTGTGAATATTCTCTCCTCGGTGCTCAGACACCCCGTTCTTCTTGATGATAAAACAGATTTAGATGCTTTCCTCCCATTTTTTAACATAAGGAAAGGGAAAAAAATAAAGGGCCAAATAATTTCTACTTCAGTATACAGTTTGGCAGAGATAAACACGGCTCTGATCTGAATGTTGCGAAGGGCAGACTGAAGGGCCCTGTGGGCATAAACTCATGAGATTAAGGAAAATCCAAGTTGCACAGAAAAAAGGGAGAGTGAGGAGTTTACAGTACCTTATACCTTGCCCTAAACTCTCACCTGAGGCAAGCGCTATTTCTAATGTTCATTTTAGCACTTGGCAAATTTATTTGTGCTGCAGGTAGCCAAGAAAGCAATAATGTCCTTAATCCCTCCTCAAGTACATCGGGATTTAGGTCTTTCCCTACTGTTATAATTTTTAAAGATTTGGTAATTACCAACAATTAATTATACATTCATAATATTATAATTTGACTGGATTTGGCTGAGGGGAGACCTTATCAATGCCTACAAGTATCTCAAGGGAGGGTTGAAGGAGGAGGGAGCCAGACTCTTTTCAGTGGTTCCCACTGAGAGGACGAGGGGCAACGGGCACAAGTTGGAACAGAAGAGGTTCCACTCAAATATGAGGAGAAACTTCTTCACGGTGAGGGTGACAGAGCCCTGGAAGAGGCTGCCCAGGGAGGGTGTGGAGTCCCCTTCATTGGAGATTTTCAAGACCCGCCTGGATGCACTCCTGAGTAACATGCTCTAGTAACATGCTCTAGCTCTAGGCAATCCTGCTTCAGCAGGGGAGTTGGACTAGATGATCTCTATGGTCCCTTCCAACTCTAGAAATTCAGTGAAATTCAGTGAAATTCAGTGATACGTTTCTACAACAGACCCTGGCGATTGTAGGTGAGAACAGAACAATAAAAGGAGAAGGCCAGGCACCTGAATTCACAGGTGTTATGGCCCATACTTTGAGAGCAAAGCATTTAAGCATCCTTCTAGTCCCATTTCCCTTCCTTGATTTTTGCTAAATTTCTAAAAGAATGCGCAATTAATTGTATTTTCATGCCTAGCCAAATTAAAAACACTACTTGCAAGTTGTCAGAATTTCATACTAACATTCTGTATATCTGGAGAAAACATGCATTCAGTCTTATCTGAACATCTGAATCATGTGCCTTCATAAGGATGAGACAGTCTTATCTATTCAAATTTAGGGAAAGAAGAACTCCCTTCCTCCCAGAGAGTTAATCAGAAATGTATGCAGTATAAAGCCATGACAGGATATTGTGTGCTAGATCACAACCCAGATAATCTCAGCAAACTTCATACAATTTTTTAAAACTCTGTATTGGCTGAGAACAGTGTTAAGTCTGCCCCAGGAATCCTGAGGACAATGAGAAGTTGATTTAGATATATGTGTGTGTCTGCCTGTCTACATATCTCTTCTATTCCCCTTCAATTAAAATTTTTTTACCTCTTAATGACCAACAAAACACAAGCCATGGTATACCTTGTCACTTCTGCTTGGCAAGTAATACCACTGCCATCTGCTTCATCACCACTAACAGCCCTGGGACATGCAAATCACCGATATTCGATGCGTGACTGTGTCACTAAACCCCAGCAGCAAGGTGGGGGGATCCACTTCCTGAGATACTCAACATTTGCCCATAAACACAAGGTCCAGTTCTAAGTGTCTAAGAAACCAGCTTTCCCTGGGAGAAGCCTTGCATCTCACCAACAGACAGGCAGCGGTGGCACACGGGACCACAGCGAAACAAACTCAAAGACCTAGGAGTGGTATTTTTTCCTCTATTCCCCATAACATGAATAAGTTATTCAACTACGTTACCTAAAAATGAGGATTATAATAAAGTTGGCAAACATAATCTGTTTGTAGAAACAAAACTTAGGACTTTACGACTAATTATGTAACTTATGCCATATTCCCATGTGCCTCTCCCCCAACATGTTCTCTCTCTTCTTACTTAAAGACACTGGGATTTAAATAGTTTGCTAATTAAAAACCCTGAATACCAAACAATGAACCTGGGTTTTAGAACCTATTAATGCTAATCACCATCTTATCATCCTTTTTCTTCTCAATAGAATGACTGTGGTAAATATTTCTGTACCCCAGTGACTAAGATGATTTTACCAATTAACACTGTATACTGAGGATGGATTCCACGCACATGTCTAGAGATCATTCATTCCACCTAAGAACGTCACCACAGCAAACACTGCCTTGGGGCAGTTTCCCTAAAGCCCATCAACCCCCCCCCCCCCCCCAAAAAAAAAGAAAAAACAATCATCAGCATGGACTCATCAGCCTCTATCCAATGCTTTCTGAAGCTGTAATTTTCTTTCTTCCTGGCCAAAGGACAAAAATAAAAAGATGCTGCTACATTTATCAGCTGCAAAAGAGGACAATGACAACAAAGGCTGATCTCCAGTCAAACTAGCTTCTTATAATCTGGGGCAGACAGAGAAGCTTTAACTCCTGATATTGTTGGGAAATATAAATCCTGGCCTGGTTTTCTCTGCAGTTTGTTTGTCCCCCCCCTCTGATAAGCAGCCTGACTTCCGGACGTGAATCTCCTGATTTCTGTACTTCACTATGGTACAGAAATATTTACTGCACTCATTCTCTTGAAGAAGAAAAATGATGATAAATTTGTCGTTAACATTAACATTAATAGGTTTTAAAACCTAAGTTCATTATTTGATATTCAGGCTTTTTTAATTATAAATTTAAACTCTGAACAATTTCTTCACAAGCTGAAGCAACAGGAGAGACATTCTTTTGAGGAAGTTAGACATTATAGCAGCTTTCCAGTACCTGAAAGTGCCTATAAGAAAGGTGAAGAGGGACTTTTTGCAAGGGCATGTAGTGAGTGATAGGATGAGGCGTAATGGCTTCAAACTGGAAGAAGGGAGATTTAGAATAGATCTCAGGAAGAAATTTTTCACTATGAGGGTGGTGAGATGCAGGCCCACGTTGCCCAGAGAAGCTGTGGCTGCCCCATCCCTGGAAGGGATGACCAGGCTGGATGGGGCTTGGAGCAACCTGGTCTGGTGGGAGGTGTCCCTGCCCAGGGCAGAGGGTGGCACTGGATGATCTTTAAGGTCCCTTCCAACCTAGGCCATTCTATTATTCTAAGTTTTTGCTGTTAGATTACTTCATTTCCATGGAAAAAGTCCATACTGCAAAACTTTCAGTCTGCATTTGTGAGATGCTTGACCACTGTTGTTGCATCTGCAGTGACGTTAGAGCAGCAAGCAGGCAACTACAAACAAGTCAAGCCACCAGAACAGGATTTCTAGGCTCTGTCCCTGACAGAACCAAGACCACAATTTTATTTCACAGAGGACAGAGGTTGTTAATTTGTGGGAACTGATGGCTGCTTGCTGCAGATAATAGCATAATTTGGAATTCAGTAAGAACTTACTTTTGCAAAGAAATGTAGTACTTACTATTCCACGGAATAGTTAAGGCTATTAATCAGGTAAATAAATGAAAGGGAATAGGTTATTTGTCTGAGAATCTAGCCTACAACTTTGGCAGCATTACCTCAACAGATAGCCAAAAAATGAGAGGTTTTGATTTAACAAAGGAGATGTTACAGAAAGACACTGCCAATGTGTGCAGCAGTCTGGGAAATGAAAATTTTATAATGTTAGAAGGCAAGACTTACAGAGAGTAGCCTATTAATGTCAATGGATTACTAAACTGCACAAATCAAATATAATGACAAATAGTATGTGACTAAATAAGGCTGCCTTTGCATACTGATGAGTGCCTCTTTTATGAGGTGGAATTGTGTTAGTGATGGTTTAATTCACCATTAATTTTGCAGTGGCCTGACAGAAGGGGCATCAGTGCAGAAGTCTCTTGGCTCTCCTGGCCTTCCGAGGCAAAGGAGGACAAAAGAGGAGGATAAGGAAAACAGGTTTCCAAGCACACACAACCCTATGTGGAGGCACCCCATGGGAAGCACAACTCCTCTTCCCTGTTAAGGAGTGAGGGAAGTATCTGAAAGCTGATAGAAGGGATGTGAAGGAGAAGTCTCTACACGCGCTTCCTTCCACACCAGCCAGAGTGAGAGAGTTATCTTCTCCCATAGCACAGTAGTAGGTGTAGTCTGCCCAGAATTCCTCAACAGGGGTTTCAGCTGAGACTGCAGCACTTCAAGTTTGCTGCTGCTTCCCTCCACCAAGCTGCTGGCAGAACACAGATGTGCGGAGCAGTTGCACCGTGCCCTACGCACGGTCCCACTCTTCTGGAGTACTGCTGCAGAGGAGCAAACACTACAAGTCTGGCCATCAGGCCAGGCTTGCATAGGGCTTTTCAAGTTCAGATTCTTGGCTGAACTGTCTAAACTTTCAAAGCCAGAAAAATCTGGGATGGGGTCCCTTGGAGAATGGCTTGCCTAACAGGAACAATGAAATAATTTTAAACAGAAACGGCTCTTAGCCACAGATACGAATCTGAACTTTCCTAGGTTCGGGGATATCTTTGTCTTAGTCTTTGAGAGAAAGTTCATACTTCAAATTTTTTGTTTGATTTCCTTTAATACATTCTCTTTCTTTCTGTTTCTGGACTCAGTTCCCTCATTTTTTGGATCCATATTATCTTTCTTTTGTTATTCCACTTGGCACCTTATTCTCCAGTCAAGGTAAGATCACATTCTGTTCACTTTATTTGCTTCCTAGGTATTAAAAATGCAACCCAAACCCCATCTTTTCCATTGTCCTTTTTTGCCCCCAGCCTCCTGAACAGTTTTACTTCACTTAGCCTTTCTTGTTTTCTCACTGAATACCAGGCTTGTTGCCTCATTCTTCTACTTTTTCACTCAATAACTGAAGAGGTGGAGAAAGCACTGTTGGTGAGTCTGTAAAAAGATCTCTGTTTCTGAATGAGTACAGCAGAAAATGGTTTGCTGTTTGGCTTCAGTGAAAAATATTGGTTGGCTTGAAAGACTGGGAGGGAAAGGGTGGGAAGAATAAATGGACAGACACACAGTAGATTTTGCCCAGGTCATCCAAGGGACTGACATTACATTTTCATATCCACCAATGATGCTCATATCACAATACATTGCCACATGTGCCTCATCTTCAGAGCTCAGAAAACCACGGAGTAGTCTCATAACCAGGGACTGTAGACATCTCTGCAGGCATATCAGAGTTATCTTGGTTACTGCATGGAACCATCACCTTAGATTTCATGGTTCCTCAGCTTTGAATCGTTAATCTGGGTGAAATAATGCCATTGTGCTTTATTTTATGTCTTTAACATAGCTGCAAATGATGAGAACCCCATGATCTTAGCCCCATAGAGAGGAATAAATTTTGTTTTTAAGATGCTACTTTGTGTGCACCAAAAGGGACATACCTATTTGAGACTGAGCAACCATAGTAGACTTGCGATCACACAGTGGAGAGAAGGGAAGCCCTAATTCTGCTTCTTTGTCACCCTGGAGAAACAAAATCAAGAATTAATTAGAAAAAGACAAGACACATTGCACTTTCGTATCTTAAGTCATAAGTGTAAAAGCTTCTCATTTTACTTTCTTTAAGTAAGTTTTGAATTATTTTTTTTTTTTTAAACACAATTTGTGAAGAATTTTAGTCTGGCTGGAAAAGCTTTAGGCCAAGCAGAAGTTGGTGAACTAAGCACCTTAATTCCAGTGAATCTTTCCTTAGAGCTTTCCCTGCCTGCTTGGTACTTCTAGGCACCAAGTGACAACCCACTTTAGCACAAGACCACTTCTCATGGCAGTTCTCCAGAGAACTCAGCAGAACTCAGCTCTCAAAGGAAACCTTACAAGAGAAAACACCAGTGTCAGGACTGCAGGGCTTGCACTTTTTTGCATGTAGTTTTAGTCTTTCAGATAAGGACATCAGAGGTCATGGCTGGCTAGATGCAGATTACTCTTTTCTTCCAATGGAAACACTGACATTGTCAACACTTTACATAAGTGCTTAAGTACAAAAGGCCAAACACGCTTTCCAGCCCTCAGAACTGAAAGTCCCTTTCTAAAATTACAAGATAGTGCAGAAGATAAGTGTTATAACCCCATTTTTTTTCCAGTCTTTCAAGTTGCATATTCTCAAAAAGCCCTTTAACTCGGTTCAGTCACACTATAACATATTGCTTTATGCTGAGAAGATATATAGGATGACATAGTTGCAATACTCCCCACTGAACATTTAAATTTAAATAGCCTGTTAACTATACTCTAGAATCAATTCCTTAAATCAGCAGCTCACTTTAACCATGCTGAACTTCTTGCCAGTGTTCTGACTAATGTCAAATGGAAGCTAAAAGAGCCAGAAAACTAATCACAGAAAAGCTTCTATAGGCATAAGAAAAGCCGACTCTGTCTTCTATTTGTTAATATGACATACATGAAATGGGGGCACAAGTCCTGTTAGAGTTTTGGGTGGAACAACAAGCAAGAGCATTCTTCTGTTGCAGAACAATTCTGCTTTATGTTATAAGTCTGATACACAAATACCAGGGTAAACCAGAAACCAAATACAGAAATATTTCCAAGTGATGTTACTTTACTGTGTCTGCTGTGTGTCTGAGGAAGAACCTCTCAATGCCAGCTCTTACCTAATCATCATTCCTCTCACTCCTAATGCCTCTAAAAAAAAAACCAGTGCCTAACTCTCTTTAGGAAGGACCACCTAACTGCCTTTCTGTCTGCTCAGAAAGATAGTTGACAACTTCTAAGCTGTCTGGGCTGCTTCCTTATAGCTAGCTAAAGTGGATTAGTGAAACAAATGAATTCATGCAAGACATCTGCTTTAAGAGATGCTCACCATAGCTGCTGAACCCATTGTACTCAGAAGCATCATTCCCACCGACAGCATGGTTACTTGGTGCAGAAAGACTTGTGTCATATCTCAAAATAACTGGAAACTAATAGGACTGGGGACCTTACTGATATAGGCTGAGTCAGGCTTTATGTCTCTGCAGAGCACGTAACAGAAAGGACAGGAGAGGGTCTAAAGGTGAAGAGCGTAAGGAAATAAATACCTAACCTGAGGCCAGCCCAGTTTCTGATCAGTATGGTCCCCTCTTCAAATCAAATTCTTGCAATGTCCTTATTAAGAAAGGATTCCCACAACACCCTTAAAAATGGATGCCATGTAAAAAAAATTCTTAGAACTTCTTTAAAATTGTCATATAATTTTCTTTTTTGCATTCAGATTCACTATATAACATTAAGTTATTGAACACTGGGGGAAAATGAAACAGTTTTCTGCTTAGTTTAGTAATTCATGTTGGTGAAAAGTATCCTAAACACTCTTAACAGCTCTGTTTACTTTTAAATTTTTTTTAAGGCAGCTCTTTAAATGCTTTTAATTAGTCACTTTGGGAGCTTATAGCTATAACATAGAGCTTAATGATTTGCCTAGATTTGTGGGTCTGTCAACAGGTGGTCCACTGTGAGCTATAAACTAGATGAGTTCACTTAATCTAAAGTAAAGGTAATGCATTTTTCACATGTACCCCAACATAAGTACAGTTCTACAAAGTACAGTCACCTAAATCTGTTTTCAATGGTTCTATACCTAAGTAGAATGTCACTTATTCTATATTTTGCTAATTTGAAACATGCATTAGCTTCCCCAATTAGAATTTCTAGCCTGTAGATAATATCTATATATATAGGCACTAGCTTCCCAAGAGGCATAAACAGCCAGTGCTACTGGTGCCAGATGAGAAAGCTTCTTATCAGTTAGGAGACTCTTGAGAAAGTCAGAGAAGGAAAAGATGTGTGTTCATATTTTCCTACTTCCGTGCCCCTCGACACTCCCTCTGGGCTGCAGAAATGCAGAGGAACTTCTCTAGTTTTACCTGTCTGAAGAACTCCTCTAGCAGAGACATGGTCCAGCGATGGTGGAGATCCCAGGCCTTGGCTGGATGACTGATATCTGCTGTATGCAACAACAGTGATAAGGCTTTCGGCTTGTCAATTCTGAAAATCCAAAGGATCAAAAAAATTAATTGTCTGCTTTTGCAGTGGAGAATGACAGAAATCTCACCTAAGCAGGGCAATGAGGTCATTAGAATCTTTGGCCAGGGTATTAATGGGATGATTTCTGTGTTGATAAAATCAGACAACTATGAAATATTGTCAAATTTGTCCAACATACACCATTCTTGTTATAAGTGAGAAGTTAAGAAGCGCAAAAAGAAACTTTGCTCAGCCTTGCTGAGCTCCTTTCCAAGCTTGTTTGTCTGCACAAGCAGGCTTGAAGAGCTACTGTGTTCCCCATTTCAGCTGGAAGAGTTGCAGCTTCTGAGAGGAGCAAGCCACACTGGGCTGATACAGGTATAATTCTGGGTGGCTCTGGACAGACCTGTCTCCTGGGTGAAATAATGACCATCACTCAAAGCTTTCTGCAGTATAAGAGGAATTTTATGGGGAAGAGCTGTGGACAAAATATTACAGCTCCCAGTGACATACTGGAAAGAAGAAAAGGCCTTCCCTATACTGCTCCATCTGTTATCTTCTAGTCCTTCCCTCCGTGGATCTCAAGTTGTTTTCACTGTCCTCTGGTTATGGAGCAGGCCTCCTGCAGAGGAGGCAGCTGATACCATCTGCAGAAGGGCAATTCCTAAGTTGTGTTTTGCAGATCTTATAACCTGGAATCACACTGAAGCCGTAGAGGTCATTCAGCTGGATCATGTCCTTGATGTTGCCCTGATATACAAGGGGAAATGCCCAGGGAGGCTTATCCCAACATGGTGACCTTTGCAAGCTTTGGTCCACCAGCACAGAATAGAGAGGTGTGTGTAGGGGGTGCCAATACACTCCTAAGTGAACTCATTCAAAATTTAGTAGCAGAAAAAGAATCGATGAGGACATCAAAAAGAGTGAGGACCTCTGGAGAGGAGCTTTTGAAGTCAGATACATTGGTAAAGCACCAGCTAAAATGCAGCCCCTCGCTGCACAGTGTTGTGAAGTGACTCACCCTTCTGGCTGCTGCAAAGCATTCTTCATGGCTTTGATTTGCTGGAAGTGACAGGACATATCAGTGGCCAACACCATTTCAATCACGAGAGTCCTGAATTCCCTTTTAGATCACATCACAATGACAGGAGCAAGGAAAGAGAAAGACAAAACCCAGCATCAGACACACTCCAGTTTCTTTTGTTGTCTATCTGCAAATTATTGACAGTACTTCCCCCTTTGTATGTAAGTCTTTCCATTATCCCTCTCGCAGGGACGGGAAAGAGAACGAATTATTTTCTACACAAACACAGGAGTGGGAGAGCTGGAAATTAAGTCAGGTGGCTAATCCTTGGTAAGAGAAATCCTAGATGTTTTTTGAAGAGTGCATTAGTATTGGTACTCCTTTTTCAATTAAGCACAAACATTTTAAACTTATTCCTTTTATAAATCATTCTTAGAAAGAAGTAAAAAGACTGTTTGATGCCTCAGCATGAATCAAGTGAACTTTTGAACCCAAATCTCTATCCAGTTGACTAAAACTGGCCCGATACCTATGTTCAAAATTTAGTCATATTATTAAAGGAAAAACAGCATGTTAAAAAATCTCATAGTTTGTATGGTGCATATATGCAGTCAAGACACTAGAGAACCTGCATTACTTCCCTGATGCTCATTCAAACTATTCCTGTACAAATTTTTGTTAAGCAAACTTGTTTTGAATCCAACTGAAATTCCTATGAAAATAATACAGATGTCCTAGAGATTTTGAACTATCAGAACATTCTGATCTAGCACATAATACAAATTTATTTTCTCTTCCTCTCGGTTCAGCTCTCCACAGTTTACCAGAGGAAGAACAACCCAAGGTTAGCATACCAGCTCAGGATTTGCAGGATTCAGAAATGGTTCAGGTTTCATTTAAAAAGAAAAGTTACCATTCTTCTTTTCATGAATGTTTCATGAAGGATATGGTCTATTTTGAGCGTGTCTCTTGTCTCTGGTGATGTGCTGAAGTTCCAGCCCCAGGCCATCACTGTGTAGAGACCTAAGACTGCTGTGCTTACCCTGTCCCATGGGTGGCACGTAATGAGTCCCCCCACCAGGAATTCCATGCACATGCTAAGATGGCACCAGCTGGGCTTGCTCCTCCCCAGTACACCCACATCCTCCACCCCACCCTTCTGTACAACCAGTTGCATGGGTCCAACGGTCTTCATTTACTTGTTGGTGATGTGCACAAATTCATGAACTGAGGCAACTCAACCTATTTTCAAATATTTAATAAGCAACAGAGTTTGGTTTTTGTTTTTTTTTTAAATGGAGGAAAGAAACAGTAGTTTAAGTACTAGTAAGCATTCAACACTTTCTCCTTGACTGTAGCTCAAAAGATCTCTTTCAGTCTCATCTGCTTTCCTTACAAAACCTGCACCCATTTCTTTTCCAACAATTTTCTACATTTCTTTCCTGAAAATACATTCCCTAACTAGATGACTGAATACCACAAAATCCACACAGGCATCTAGGATTACAATATCCACTGACCATTAGATTCTCTCTTATCACTAACATGAAAAAAGGAGTGAGAGCTCAACTCAGAAGAGCACTTAAGAATTTGCTTTCAAAAATCCATCACACTTTTTCTGAGAGAGATTTATCGGGTATGCCTACAAAAATCAAGTTAAATTTGGACACACTTTAATGGTTTACCAAAGCATCCTTCAATATGGAGGGTCCTGTTTTTGAGTAGTAGTGTGGGAAACTGTGGGCTGAAGTGACCCTGCTGAAGTCACCTGATGTCCAGTGCTTCCCAAATGTTTGCCTATGGGATTTCAAACTGGCAGCCAAAAGCAAAAGCACACAAACCCCACAATGCTTTGGTATTACAGCACATCCAGATAATGGCCTTTATTCTGTATCTGCTGCTTGATCGGCAGCTTCAAAATAATAAAGCCCTACTCAAGACACAACAAATAAGCAATCCAAACCACTCAATATTTTGCCCCAGGGAGTTACAGTATTTCTTAAAGAGATGGGTTAATCTTTGAAACTTTGGGTCTAAGCATACAGCCTCAACAGAACACACATGTTGACACTACAGAATCAATGACAAATATCTGAAGGTAGCTTGGATTCAAGCAAAACCTGTTGAAAGCTCCAAAGCAGACCATTTTCCTAAAGACAGTATCTATGCAATGAAGCACACTCAAGTAGCTGCTCTGTTCTTCCTTGTAGACGTGGCTCTAAGGCTCTAGTCAGTCAGTCTACCCCCCCAGTAGAAAAGGAAGCAGTAATTTGCTGCCAATATTTGACAAAGCATTACCAGCTGTAGCTAAGGAAAAATAAATTAGATGTTTTACACCTCAACGCAGATTTTTTTTTTCAGTTCCTGCTTGCTGCCTACCCTGAGACTATTTTCTATATTATGAGATAGGATTTCTCAAGCCAGTCCTCCACAACACTCACATTGATTGAAATCAGCCACTTAAGTTCCTGAGTTTTATTTTTGGTGTTCAGCTATAGGATCACATCACTGTCCACAAGTTGAAATAAATAGGAAATTCAGGCTAAACAGATCAGCAAGCAGAGCCTTCACTGACCAGCTTGCTAGAAGCCAGGCCCTGGAGAGAAGGGCTCATTTCCCCATGTTTCTATTAAAATAAGATGAACTGACTGCTCAGCGCTGTGGCACCATGCATCATTTAAGATCCCACAAGTTGCTTCCCCTCCCATGAGAAAGACCACAGAGCAGGATTCTTCCTGTCTAGCTATTTTTAAAGTCCAGCCCTTGGAGTTCAAAAAACCCTGTAAAACCAGAAAGCCCTCATCAGCTGAACTGTCTGCTTAGAAAGCAAATCACGGGCTGCTTTTGGCACATAAATCATATGTTGCATGAGGCTTATTTTAAATTACAGCTTCTTACATCACCTTGGCATATATAGTACACCGATTTATGCTCCTTAGACTGGATTATTTTTTGCATTCAGTCACATTTATAATTTCCAAGCCGGGAGTGTCAAAGTAGATAAAGGTTATGTTTATGCTTTTGGATGGACAAACAGCAGGCTAGCTCTACGCTCAATTACAAATGGATATGTACAAAGGCTGTCTCTGTGAGACCTAGTAATTAGATGTAAGTCAAACTGTATATTATGTCACAAGGTCTAGTCTCACTACCAGAGGTGAAAACTGAAAGCAGAAATAAGCAAGACTAACACCTTTTAAAGCTCTTTTAAAGTTCTTTGTAGCAATACAAATACTAACATGCCCTATACAATAATGCATATTGCCATTCAAACAAGGTAATAACAGTCTGTGGTGATGCTGCAGTGTTCCCAGTCAGCCACCATGTTCGTTTTTACCTCCAGTCGTCCTTTGAGAGATTAGATAAAATATTCATCTCCTCATCATCTTGCAAAAGACGATATGCTGCACTAACGTGGTGATTTTCAAGCACAGATCGGTCGTTATAGAGAATGGCGGAGTCTGACCTAGCATTTAAAAGAAAACATATGAAAGGTTATGTTTCTTCCATCCCTAAAGTCTCACATTCAGAAGTTTTCCTTTGATCAGCTACCGAGATTATTTCTACGGCACAGATCAAGCATTTTAGGATCACTTGTAATAGTTTGTTCATTGCTGTTATTCAGTAAAAGAAAACTAAAGATCAAAATTCGCTGCTAAATGTATTTCACAGATTCAGGGATTTGACAGAGTTGGAAGGGACCTCTAGAGCCCATCCAGTCCAACTCCCCTGCTAAGCAGGGTTGCCCAGAGCACATCACTCAGGACTGCATCAAGGCGGGTCTTGAAAATCTCCAGAGAAGGGGACTCCATGACCTCTCTCAGCAGCCTCTTCCAGTGTTCTGTCACCCCCATTGTAAAGAAGTTCTTCCTGAGATTTGAGTGGAACTTCCCATGTTCCAGCTTATGCCCGTTGCCCCTCATCCTATTGCTGGAAACCACTGAAAAGAGTCTGGCTCCATCATCTTTCAACCCACCCTTTAGGAATTTGTAAACATAGATGAGGTCTTCCCTCAGTCTTCTCTTCTCGAGGCTAAAGAGCCCCAGCTCTTTGAGCCTTTCCTCATCAGGGAGATGCTCTAATCCCTTAATCATTCATGGTTACCCTACTCTGGACTCTCTCCAGCAGTTCCCTGTCTCTCTTGAACTGGGGAGCCCAGAACTGGAGGTAGGATTCCAGTTGTGGCCTCCCCAGTGCAGAGCAGAGGGGGAGAATGACCTCCCTTCACCTCCTGGCCACACTTCTCCCTATGTAGCCCAGGATGCCATTGGCCCGCTTGGCGACAAGAGCACACTGCTGGCTCATGGAGATCCTGCCATCCACCAGGACTCCCAGATCCTTCTCCTCAGTAGTACTTCCCAGAAGATCCATCCCTAATCTATATTTGTGCCTGGGGTTCTTCCTCCCCAGGTGCAGGACCTTACATTTGCCCTTGTTGAACCTCATTAGGTTCTTCTCTGCCCAGCTCTCCAGCCTGTCCAGGTCATGCTGGATGGTGGCACAGCCTTCTGGGGTGTCAGTCAGCCCTCCCAGTTTGGTATCATCAGCAAACTTCCTGAGGATACACTCTGTCCCCTCGCCCAGGTCATTGACGAATATGTTGAACAGGACCGGGCCGAGTATTGACCCCTGGGGGACACCGCTGGTTACAGGCCTCCAACTTGACCCTGCTCCATTAATGACAGCCCTCTGAGTTCTGCCACACAGCCAGGATTCAATCCACCTCACTGCCCCCTCATCTAGCCCACACTTCCTTTATTTTCCAATGAGGATGTTGTCGGAGACAGTGTCAAAAGCCTTACTGAAGTCAAGGTAGATGACATCTGCTGCTCTCCCCTCATCCAACCATCTAGTTATAACATCATAGAAGGCTATCAGATTGGTCGAGCATGATTTACGCTTGGTTGTTGACCACTTCCAATAACTTCTTTGTCTTCAATGTGTTTGGAGATGACATCCAGAACAAGTCGTTCCATTATTTTCCCAGGGACAGAGGTGAGACTATTTGGCCTGTAGTTTTCTAGGTCCTTCTTCTTGCCCTTTTTGTAGGCTGGAGTGATATTTGCCTTCCTCCAGTCCTCAGGCACTTCTCCTGTTCTCCATGATCTCTCATAAATGGTGGAGAGTGGCTCAGTGATAACATCTGCCAGCTCTCTCAGCACTCATGAGTGCATCCCATCAGGGCCCATAGACTTATGGATGTCTAGTTTGGCCAAGTGGTCTCTAACTCAATCCTTCCCAACAGAGGGAAAGTCTCCCTCTCTCCAGACCATCCTCCTTGTCTCCAGGGTCTGGGATTCATGAGGGGCAGCCTTGGCAGTGGAGATCGAAGCAAAGAAGGCACTCAGCAGCTCCACCTTCTCTGTGTCTTCCACTACCAAGGCACCCATCTCATTCATCAGTGGGCCTACATTTTCCCTAGCCTGCCTTTTTTTTGATTGATGTACTGAAAAAAACTCTTCTTATTATCTTTAACTGTGGTGGCCAAGTTAAGTTCTGCTTGGGCTTTGGCCCTTCTAATTTTTCCCCTACATATCTTCACTACACCTTGATATTGCTCATGAGTAACCAACCCCTTTTTCCAGAGATTGTAAACTTTCCTTTTCTCCCTGAGGTCCAGCCAAAGCCCTCTATTTAGCCAGACCAGTCTTCTTCCCCTTTTGCTCGTTTTATGGGACCCGGGGATGGCCTTCTCCTGCGCTTTTGAGAGTTCCTCCTTGAAGTATGACCAGCCTTCCTGGGCACCTTTGCCCTTCAAGACTGTCTCCCAGGGGACACTCTCAACCATGTTCCTAAGCAGGCCAAAATCTGCCTTTCGGAAGTCCAAGGTGGCCGTTCTGCTGGCTCCTTGTCTTGCTTCTGCAAGAATTGAAAACTCTATGATCTCGTGATCACTCTGCCCAAGACGACCTTGAACCTTTACATCCCCCACAAGACCTTCTCTGTTAACAAGCAGCAGGCCCAGTAGGGCAATTTCCCTGGTTGGCTCACTCACCAGCTGTGTTAGGAAGCTGTCTTCCACACACTCTAGGAACTTTGGCCTGTAGTTTTCTAGGTCCTTCTTCTTGCCCTTTTTGTAGGCTGGAGTGATATTTGCCTTCCTCCAGTCCTCAGGCACTTCTCCTGTTCTCCATGATCTCTCATAAATGGTGGAGAGTGGCTCAGTGATAACATCTGCCAGCTCTCTCAGCACTCATGAGTGCATCCCATCAGGGCCCATAGACTTATGGATGTCTAGTTTGGCCAAGTGGTCTCTAACTCAATCCTTCCCAACAGAGGGAAAGTCTCCCTCTCTCCAGACCATCCTCCTTGTCTCCAGGGTCTGGGATTCATGAGGGGCAGCCTTGGCAGTGGAGATCGAAGCAAAGAAGGCACTCAGCAGCTCCACCTTCTCTGTGTCTTCCACAGTAGTTTCCCTGCAGTACAATGGCCTCCAGCTCCTCCTGTTTGTTGCCCATACTGCGTGCATTTGTGATGTACTGAAAAAAACTCTTCTTATTATCTTTAACTGTGGTGGCCAAGTTAAGTTCTGCTTGGGCTTTGGCCCTTCTAATTTTTCCCCTACATATCTTCACTACACCTTGATATTGCTCATGAGTAACCAACCCCTTTTTCCAGAGATTGTAAACTTTCCTTTTCTCCCTGAGGTCCAGCCAAAGCCCTCTATTTACCTGAGTATCCAAAGCCTTGCTGGTAGCACCAGTTACAGAGCCATGCATTGATCTGCCTGATCTTCTTGTTTGTCCATTCCTTGGTCCCCAAAACTGGAAGGGCAGAGGAGAACACGATTTGTGGTCCTGAACCCTTGACTAGCTGTCCTAGAGCCCTGAAATCTTTTTTCATTGCCCTCAGACGTCTCCTCACCAGTTCATCATTATGTACCTGTGAGACCAAGAGGGGGTAATAATCTGAGGGCCGTATCAGGCCAGGAAGCTTCCTGCTAATATCCTTAACACCGGCTCCTGGGAGGCAGCAGACCTCCCTTTGGGAAGGGTCTGGTCTGCGTATGGGACCCTCAGTTCCCCTCAGAAGGGAACCACCTATAACTATCACCCTCCTTTATTTCTTCACGGGGGCAGTCTTAGTACATGGAGCTGGCTGCTTCCACAGCTCCCTGGATGAGCCACTATCAGTATCTTCAATCCCCTCCTCCTCTATCTCCAGGGGCTTGTACCTGTTCTGTACTTCTCTCTCCCTCTCATCCTCTCTTACTTCCCCTCCTCCTGCCTGGTGGCAAGAGGGCAAGGGGTCCTTTTCCCCTCGTGGAGCCTTCCCCTGCTCCTTTTTCCCTAAGGATGGCATGGTGTTGCAAATGGTCCTTAGTCTTTCTACTTCCTCTTTAAGCTCAGCCACGAGGCTGAGCAGATGGTGGACCTGCTCACAGCACACACAGGCGTTGTCTTTGCTGTCCTCCTGTACGAGTGACAGACACTCCATGCAGCCCATTGCCTGGATGGCTGCACGTTGCTGTGGCAGGTGGGTTTGGCATGCTGTGTTCCTTTTGATTGTGTCTGCAGAACGAGTGGTGACCATCTCGGATGTTTTCGTTCTCTTCAGCCCGGTCTGCCTGAACTCTCCTTGCACTCCCCTGTCGCGTGCCGCACTTTGGAGAAGCCAGCTGCTGCCACCTTGCCAACCAACCAAGGGAAAATGTATTTCATCAGCTGAGACTCATCTAGTCTCTGTGTTACATCCTTAAAAAAAAATGCTGAGAGCTGTGAGAGGTACGTAATAGATCTGTGACTGATGAATGGCTAAACTGGGCTGAAGAGAAAGTTCTTGCTGGAAGTTAGGGGCAACAGAGGATGAGCATGACTTGTCACAGTCCCCACTCAGTTCTGCTTCCCAGAGAGCAAGCAGTGTGTATTTTTCCCTCCTGGCACTTTACACCCTCTGATGGTCAGTGTTACAGAAATTAAGTTACAACTGTCTTTCCTTGAATTCTTCTATAACTATTTGGGAAATACAGCAGGTCCGTAACTCTTGCATGCACGAAGCTGTAAGAAGTGGAGTGGGGCTTGGCCCAGAACAGAGACATCTACGGTCCCATGCTTTCCTGAGCGTAGCTGTGATTTATCCTAGCATAACACAGCATAATTCAGCTAACATACTCCAGACATCTAATTTAGGGTAAGACGCAATGCATCTTAGAAATACCCAAGCGTGTGGTGTCAGTCGAGGACATCTGGACATTTTGTCATTGCTACAAGTATGCTCCCATTGTCAAAATCATACACAGACGTCAGATGCCCAATTATCACTGCAACCACAGACTTCACAATCTTTGCGCTTTTGCTGCCATCTTCATCTTCTTCTCTCTTCCACCACCCCGAAAACCTTATAGAAGATTCTGAGTTCAAAAAATACGCCACTCCAATCTAGTTTGTGATCAGCTAATTGCTGCCTAGCAATTTACAAAGCTTTAAAAAAATATATTCCTGAAAGGGTAATGGTAAACTTATCCCCTTGCTGCAGGTGTGGTTTTCCACTAAAGTAATGTATGTGTACTGTTGGTGTTCACTAATGATAACAGATATTGTTGAGCTCTTGTTTTATGCAGCTAGTGTTTGATGCTTCAAATTCAACAAAGAGAAGAACCTGTTGATTTATAGTATCTCCTCCAAAACTACATCGTCACCAAAATACATCACTCTCTACAGCAATTTGTCTTCGGCAACTTTACACAGAAATATTTTGGGACTTTCCTTTTTCCTGAGTGCTAATATGGACCAATGCTCAGGAAGCTAGAATATATGCATTCCACTGTAAATGGTCAAGCAAGAGAAAATGAAAGGCAACCTAAGGAAGTGAACTTCCCTCTTGTAACACTTGAAAGCAAAAACTCCTGCACTTTTCTAGGTGGCTGCGCTGTTATTCTCCAAAGGCTTCCCATTCCATTTCCCAAGCCTTCGTCATGATTTACAGTGGCCTCACCGGGTCTGGATGTGAAAGTTGTTGGTGGTTCCAGTGTGTTCATAGTCATGGATAGCAGCTGCGAAGATCATAGCGAAGATCTCCAGCTCTGTCAGCCAGTGCTGAAAAGAGATTACAGAGCAATCAGGCAAGCTGTCATTTTCCCAGGCATTAAGGCTTTTGTCTCTGAAGGCAAGTTATCCCCTGCTGACAGTCAACGCTGCACATCATTGCCTTTCCCCTGCAGCCTGCCAGCTGTTCTAAAGCAAACTTCTCTGGTTCATACTCAAAAGCCAACCAGCATTTTTCCTGAAGCTTCATCTAAATAAATTGAACTTCAGCAGACTGGTTTCAGGAGCTAATAAGGCTTAAGGCAGAGCAAGGGGAAAAATGTGCCCTTCTTAAAATACAATGTATGAGGAAGAGAGAAAGGGAAACCTCAAGAAAATCAAGGTTCTTGATGACACGTTCAGATATGCACATACCACCAGGATATGTATTTTCAGCTCAGTTGAGCTGGGTAGCAGAGCCTCAAATACAGAAAGAATGTCACTATATTCCAGTAACTAAAAGTCTTTGTCTATCAGCAAATCATGAGAAGAGGGAACACAACCTCTTGTTATTTCTCATTTATAGAAACATTTGAGAAAGCCCTGAGGTTTTTTTTTTTCCTAATTGCCTAGTCAAAGCCTTATTTTTCAGTGCTAAAGTCACTTTTGACTTAGATTTCTACGTGACTCAGATCCTTTTAATAATTTTCCTTTGAGTCAATCAATCATTTTTTGTCTGGTTTTCTACTGATAGCACACAAGGAGTGCTATTAACATCAAGCGCAAGAGACAAAGGCTGTAGATGTTGTAAATATTTGCATGAAATGTTTAAATGTATTATATTAGAGAAAAGCTTTACCACCGTGGTTGCCAAATATTTTTGTAACAGCTCACGGTCAACCTGCAAACCTTTTGACAGACGTTCAGGTACAAGCCTTTTAATTCAAATCCCAGTAAAGGCAGTGTGGTTTCATAAACCTATTCTAGACATCTCCTACAGTTCAGGGGCCACCACTGGTCTGGTAACCATGTGCTGGGGAAGCACAGATACACATGAGCCTCTGTGCACCAGAGGCTCTCCTGCCTTTCACAGCTGTCTTGGCATAATTAATGAAAAATGAAGCAGGTCTTAGTATTAAGGATCTCCTTACATTAAAGATGCAGTTTGAAAATATTGGCCAGAGATATTTCACACAATGCCACTGACTGTAATCAAAGTAGCTCTTGAGTTTTTTGGGGTTTTTTGTGGTTGTTTGTGGTTTTTTTTTTGAAAGAGAGAGAGGAGGGTGAAGAGATCAAGAAATGAGCAGACACAGAAACAAAGCTATGTTTTAATTTTTACACAACTGGTCCAGGACAGGAGCAGACAGCACTGGTGGTGAGAAATCTGGGATGTTTCTGTTTCCAGGTGTGAGTTGTGAAGAAGGCTGATTATCAGCCTTTTTCATCAGCTTTATAGCTGATGAAGAACATGATTTCAGCTTTCAAGCAACAACCACTGGCAACTGCAATGGTGGTAAAAAGGAACTGCGCTTTCCAGGCTACGCATCTACATCTGGACTTCAGTTTCTCAACCATGCTCTGCCCTTTCCCAAAAGAAGAGAAGGCAAATAACAGAAAAAAAATCAGGCACAACCGCTCAGGAAAAGGCAGAGCAAATCTACAGGATGCACACAGAACTACTAGGGGACACACCAGCTAGTGAATGCAGCCACTTCAGACCTTCTGGGCCTCATCTGACACTCCAACAGCATCTGGGGATCCAAGTCTTAAAACAGCATGAAGGCAATGAGCATGGTGCCTGAGATCTCCTACCTCATCTCTTAAGACATAGACAGGAAAAGTTCTAACTTGCACGCCCCATCAAGGTGTCACTTGTTGAACAAGTTCAGGACAACGTAGATTTTCAAATAGGGTGCGATACACCTCAGGAAAGGTATTAAATATCATAATAGCATTTGAGAAAGACCACTCAGGATAAAGACGGGGATTACAGTTGTGAACTGTGGGTAATAAATAAATTAGTGTAAGTAGCACAAAGTCAAACTGGGCTTGTAAGTAACAGGAGGGAAATAACGGGTAAGTAATTGGAACCTTTTAGTCCCTTCTTTCTGCTACAACCTTGCAAGGAAAAGCGAACAAGATGGTAAAGAGCGTGCAGAGAATGGATGCACTCTCCATCAAAGCAGTGATATCACCTTTCACTAGTCTGTGATGGACTTCATCTTGGGAACGGAGAGCTAGTTTTAAAGAACAAAGGCATCAAGAAGTATTGAGAAATCAGCACGACACTGTCACAGGATGAAAAGAGCGAGGAAATGTGAATGTTTTTCATTTCTAAAGGCTTGACAAAAACAATCCAGAACAAAACCTTCAAACTTTCTGTGATTATAGGGGGTGGGTGATGGTGCGGGAAGAAAGCATGAAAGAACAAGTATTGACTTCCAGAGTGGAAACAAAAAAAGGGTAATGAGGCATGATTGTCTTTCACAAACATACAATAAATATGAAGAATTAGCTACTAAGGCAAGTCATTGGCATGTAAACAAAAGGATCGATGCATACAGAAAGAAAAAGGAAGAGGAAAGAGCGGTTTCCAAATCAAAACAAAACAAATGGATCCATTTCCAAGAAAATGCTACAAAGCAAAGACAGCAATAATTCGCCTGCTTCCTTCCCCAGAGTTTATGGTCTTTTATTCCAAAGTAGCTACCATTTTCAGAGCTCGTGATGATCTGCTTATTAATCACAACAGTCTAGAGAAGAGGAGGATCTCAGTTGCCTTTAGTACAAACAGATGTGACAGAAGTTCTGCAGTTTTACAGGTCTGCTACAGGAAATATTCTCCTATAATTCTTGGCAGTATCAGAGAAAGAACACTTAGGTTCTACCATTTGCAACTCATTGTCTGAATTCACAAAGAAATCATATGGGAATTTATAATAATTATAATAATGAATCAGAAAATAATACTGAATAAAGTAATAATCACAGTTGAACAAAAGAATTAAATAAGAATTGAGTAAGAATGAAATGAGAGAAAAGTGTGTCAGCTCTTGGAAGGTGTTCCTACACATCACACTTCTATACCAGTCCTCTAAGAGATAAATATCAGAGCAATTCCAAATTCTGATTCAACATTATATCTATGAGAGAATCCAAAATAGTCTAATTCGAACTGTAAAGTATGAGAATTTTATCCCAAGGCATAAAATCATAGAATTGTCTAGGTTGGAAGGGACCTTTCAGATCACCTAGTCCAAATATCAACATTACTCTGATAAAAACCATCACTAAACCATGTCTCTAAGCACTAGGTCAACCCAGCTTTTCAATCCCTCCAGGGATGGGGCCTCAACCACTGCCCTGGGCAGCCCAGGCCAAGGCTTAAGAACCATTTCCATGGAAACAGCTTCCTAATCTCCAATCTGAACCTCCCCTGGGGCAACTTGAGGCCATTTCCTCTTGTCCCATGGCCTGTTCCTTGGGAGCAGAGACCGACCGCCCCTGGCTACACCCTCCTTTCAGGGAGTTGGAGAGAGCCAGAAGGTCTCCCCTCAGCCTCCTTTTCTCCAGGCTCAACACCCCCAGCTCCCTCAGCCTCTCCTCACAAGACTTGTGCTCCAGACCCCTCACCAGCTCCCTTGCCCTTCTCTGGACCCGCTCCAGCCCCTCAAGGTCTTTTTTGTGGTGAGAAGCCCAAAACTGGACACAGTACTTGAGGTGGGGCCTCACCAGTGCCAGTACAGGGGGACAATCACCTCTTGGGTCCTACTCACACTATTCCTGACACAGGCCAGGATGCTGGTGGCCTTCTTGGCCACCTGGGCACACTGCTGGCTCATCTTCAGCCCACAGGCCACCAACACCCCCAGGTCCTTTTCTGCCAGGCAGCTCCAGCCACTCTGCCCCCAGCCTGTAGCGCTGCAGGGGGTTGGTGGGACCCAAGGGCATGACCCGGCACTTGGCCTTGTTGAACCTCATCCCATTGGCCTCATCCCATTGATCCAGCCAGTCCAGATCCCTCTGCAAAGCCTTTCTACCCTCCAGCAGGTCAACACCGCCAACTAACTTGGTGTCATCCATGAACTGACTGAGGGTGCACTCGATCCCCTTATCCAGACCATTGATAAATATGTTAAAGACAACGGGCCCCAACAGTGAGCCCTGTGGGACACCACTCGTGACCGGCCGCCAACTGGATTTAACTCCATTCACCACCACTCTCTGGGCCTGGCCCTCCAGCCAGTTTTTAGCCTATAATCCTGGGGAAGAAAATAACAGGAAAACTAAAGAGATTTCAGGCACTGAATATGACTAGAGGGAAAGAAGATTTTTTAATTGAAAAGAAAATAGAAGAAAACAGAAGCCTGGAATAAAACTGCTAAGAGATTGTAAATAACACATGAATGACAAAAGCAAGGGAACCATGTGAAGATAAACCAGACATTTGTTTCTTTCCTTTGAGACTAGAACAAATTACCACTATATAGACTATTTAAATTTGAAAAAAAGTAGTTTTTCCACATTGCAAGTAACTAGTTAAACAAGAAAAATCCTATTGTATGATTTTTTTGCAAGTCTTTGTCTTCATCCCAGTAAAAAGTTCAACCAACGGCCCCAAGATGTCTTCTGAAACCAAAGTCTTGCATTCCAGCATGTCCAAGTTCCTTGCATAGATATTGTGAATGTGATGAACTGAACAACTATGTACACTAGAGTAAGGTTAATTATTGATGAGAGCAAATTCTGGAAACAGGAAAATGTTCCCTACATTTCTTTACCATGTGTGAACATACAATGAGTATTAGAAACTAGCCCTGCTGCGAGCAGGGGGTTAGAAGTGATGACCTCTAGAGCTCATTTTCAAAATGCATCAATCTATGCACATTGACATGGGTTGGATCCTGCAGGAGAAGAGGGGTGGAAACTAAAGAAAAAAAAAACAAACAAAAACACAACCAAAGCCCAAAGATAAAACAAACATTGCAACAAGGGAAGTAAAGCTGAAATGTCACTACTTACGCACAGCATTGGAAGCCCATTGTTCCTGCTAGCAGAAGAGTGGCTTC